AAAGGCTGAGGCAGTTTGTGTACAAGCATTTCAACACTGCCTCTGCTTCCTCCGAGGGTGAGGAGCCGAAAGTTGAGTGACCAGGGTGGTTAGCAGACTTAATAGTTGTTCACCAGGTTTGAGTCTGAGTCCAAGGCTCCAAGGGGGCCTCTGGGGCGATGTCTGATTCCGGCCTTTGTGGTTTCGGGGGGTGCTTTTAGCCTGCGGGAGAGCTCGGTTTGCTCGGGCTTTTTGGCTCTTGGGGACGGAGTCTTTTCCCTATGGGCGAAAATTTCGACCGATGCTGTTTGTAGCTCTATCAGCATCCCTTTTTCGTCGACCAGATTTGCTATTGGTCAACGGTTTGCTGCAAGCTTTCGCCTTTCTGGATCCTTGGGCGTTTTGGCGCGGTTTAACCGGAAAAGTGTCTCTAACGACGCTTATGGCCCACTCACGGAGATTCTAGCGCGAACCTGTGGGACATTCTGCGATAACAGTTGTAATATTATTTCTCTGTCTTCATGAAGGGCTGTCTGAAGCTACCGCGCCTTGTGGTATACCATAGTGAACGGAGCAGGAAGCCAAGGACCGACAGATTTGTACGACCGTACAGTGCAGTGTCTGTAATCAGTTGTCACATTTACCATTTTTTCCTGATTTAAACTACACTTTGTAACCTTCGTACATATTTTATCATGAAGTGTGTTTTAATGTTACGAATACACAATTTTCCGGTGCTACCAGCGGAATTCTTGCTGAACGGGTGTATTTACGCTCCGTTGGACTGTTTGCTGACTACTGAACCAGTTGGACTAGATCTCCGTGTTTGTGTCAACTGTTGAATCTCACAATAAATCCCCGTGACATTTTTTAGCCGTGAATAATTCTCCTATCGTGGAATATATCACCCACCCGTGAACCATCCGTGGGAAATTTCGATAAGTGAATGTTTCCTTTCGCAGCCGGTTATTGCACCTGGATCGGTGTAGTGGACTATTGGATCTACCCATTCGTGAGTCCTCATTTGACTGCTCATTCTTTTCCTATTGTGATTTCGTGATTTTGCATTGGTTACTTTTCTTGCTAATTTGTTCGAACACGCTGATAAGGTCCTAGTCCGGTACATAATTGGTGAGCCCGAATCATTCCTTAACTTTTTTCTCCGCAAAACTCCCGTGCTTTATTAAATTTATTTTCCACCTCAGCATGGCTTCTGAACAAACACAGACACCCGAAATAGACAACGTTGTTTACGTGAAATTGCCTGAATTCGGTTCACGCGATCCGAGGCTGTGGTTCGCCCATCTTTAGGCCATTTTTGAATTGCGTCGCATTACCTCGCAGAGCAGCAGATACAACTGTGGTAGGATGCTTACCAGACTTCGTTGCCCGAGAGGTCACTGATTTAATATACACCCGACCGTACACCGATCCGTATGATGCTCTCAAAACAGCTATCATTTCTCGCACTGCTCACAGCGATGAACAGAATATGCGGGAGCTTCTCTCCGGTGTTGACGTCGGCGATAAAACACCATTACAACATCTCCGCCACAATGCGTCTGCAAGGTAAACATCCGGTCAACTACGCGGTTTTCCCCAAAGAGTTTTGGCAACAAAGCCTGCCCAT